GAGACATATGAGATTGAAATGTTGGTTCAAAAGTTGCCCAATCACTTAGAGATATGAACATTAGTGCTGGAAGGGAAAGAAGAGCTAAAGTAGAGCGTTTGCGAAATCATCTTCCTGCAAAATTCGTAGTTTTTCCGGCTTAAAAAAATCCTTTGGGTTGTAGTGTAGTACAAGGTTTCTGATGAGATAAGCACTTTGATTCACAGATTGCAGTGCAAGTCTAGCCAATGCTCTAGCCAATTTGCTTTCTGCAGAAAATTTTGCATACGAATTTGATTTAATGCAGATTCGTAGAAGTCTTGAAAAGCGAGGGCCCGGATGATGCTCCATGGATTTATTTGAACCGAAAGTAGTTCGATTTATAGTCATAGATAATAAATGGTATTTTGTGAGATGTTATGAAATGGGAAAGAATAAAATATTCACGTGACTGACATTTAATGTTGGGTCACCCTGTAGATATTGACCTCTTGATGGGAATGAGTTTGCGAGAGTAAATAGGTTGAGGCAAGTTGAAGAAAGGGTTTGCTGAAGCACTTTGTACACAATGGATGGATTCGCAACTGCGACATCTTATTACATCGCATGGGCTAAGTCCATTTTATTCGCACGAAAAGCCCATTTTGCGGGGACTTTTGTGGATATCATTCCAGAATTGTGTGGTTTTTCTCTCTTGATCCCTGCCACTCTTCATCCTGTATTCACAATGTTTTGCACTTCTACTCTTTTGCATTAACTTGCACTTGCGATAGTCCTAAGGTTACTCGAAATAGCGCACATTATTGATGAAAATGACCATACATAGTGGCATTAACTTTGCTTGCTGCCTAAAACGCTTTTCTTGTTTTTGATTATATTTGATTCTGTGCTAGCTTTGCGTGTCTAGTTCTTACGAGCTGTTGACGAAAATACAGAGTAGAATCCGTGGATAATTCTTACAAGTTTTCAAGTAAAGTCGCTCTGAGTTCTGAGCATTCTTGATTGTTATTTTTCAGAAAATTTTTTCAAATCGCAGCATTTGTCTTTTTACAGTACTAAATAATCAAAAAGTAGGCATAATAGTCATTTTAAATATATGTATATGAACAAACAAGGTCATGTCCTAATTTGATAAAGAGCGAGCAAATCAAATACCTTGGCCATTTTTGGAGTGTGCGCAGCTAACACTGCGGAGTGAATTCTTTGCCTCCATCCGTACGTAACTCAACATCGCAGGATCTGACAATTTCTTGAGATATCTTGGAACTCAACAGTTTTAAAAACTTTAGAGCAGTTCAAAATCTAACAAACACTTGAAGACTTCAGAAACGACAGTTATGAATTGGAGAGCTGCCAAGACGATGCTTTGCAAATTTTTCCTACATGTTACCTAAGGTCGCCGTTGTCGTTCAATTCTTTCGAATATAGTGCAATCGCAAGCAAGTGCGATTCTCCTGTTTTGTAAAGTACGGCTTTTCTAAATCATGCAGATGTGTGACACCCGTAACAATGGGGTTGCTGACCGATTTGCAGCTGAAGCGACGTTTGCCATATAACTCATGTCGGCATTCAAATGAAGGAACTCTATTCCTTTCTTGATTCAAAACCCGGATTTTATCCAGGTGTAAAAGTTATGATTTGGATTTTTTATCTGTGCTGTATTTTTGTAAAAGATTGGTACAAAAATGATGTCCTTCTTCTTGTCTTTGAAAAATTGCGGGAGACGGGCAGCAAACTCAAGTACTGATAAACCTTCAGCAAATAACACTTCTCTTGGAATAAGTGCTGCTCTACGAACGCGCAATCGACGGAAGTTTCTTCAAAGGACTCTCGTATTGAGAGTGTTAAAAGCGCTTGAAATTAATCAATGAGCGCTCGTCACTTACTCAGCAAGTTAGCTTTCAAGACAGGCAAGCGTTCCTTTGCAGTTCCATAATGGTCGAATGTAATGAACGTTGCGAAAGTGTTACACATTCTTCCGCAAATTCTAAAAGGCCAGTTCAGTCCAAAGCATATTTTTGTACATTTATAAGTGGCAAGAAGTTCTTCACAACCTTTCAGATAATTTATTGTGGCAACTATCCTCGCCTTTGATCTTATCTGTTCCAACTTCATTTTTCTAGTCCTTGAAACTTCGAAAAGAGGAAACCTCATGTCGGCATTCCTTGCCGGCTTCCTTTTCATTGAAAATTCCGCTAAGCAATACATCTTTGTAAGAGCGAATTAGTGCTTTCCCAACACAACGAATTATCTTCACTCTTTAGTTAAGATTGATATTGGTCACAGATGATGGTCATACTTCGGCAAACATCCAATGAGTTGCTACAAGTTTCAACAATAAAGTCTCCCTTCAAATTGTTCTGCGTTTAGAAAAAATGTTGAGGAAATAAAAACTCCATACGCGTGGCCAGAAGTATAGGATATATGCCTTCATGCAGAACTTTTAACTGTGGTTCCATTATCCCCAAATTATACGCGTTTTCTGCTTGATGTACGATTTGGCTTAACACTTTGAGACCCTGGTGGTGGCAATTGCCACCATCAACTTCAAAGGGCAGTGTTAGTGGCGCAACAGCAGATTTATACTACTTATTGCTACAGGTAACTTCAAACAACCATTACCTTTCTAAAAGCGATTTGCAAGCCCCATTTCATCCATGGTGGTACTAGAAATGTAGGAATGTGCACAATTGAGTGACAAAAAATCGATAACGGTTGTTTGTCGCAGCATCTGCTGAAAAAATATTAATTATCTCCTCAGATAGTTCAAATAAATTCATACTATAAAAGAAGTGTAGAGTATGATGTCACGCGAGCACATCCGCCATGAGTACGCGATTTCATCTTTGTAGGAAAAAATTAGAAAATTGAGAGAAGGTTGGGAGAAAAAATAAAAATAAAAACGTCTTGTTGTTGAAAATGTTCCAAACTTCGCTGTATCGTTATTCAAGCGCTACCCTATCATAAACAGTAGGTGAGCAGTTCTCTCCTTTACTGGGAAAAAGGCAGGTCCTAAAGGGTTGATGACACAAAAAATTATCAACTTTGAATATTTATCAGCAGAATGAATTAACTTGATAGTTACCAATTTCGTTAACGAATCAGTAGCAAAGATACTGTAATTTGAACAAATTCTTAGACCCATAGTTTTTATTCACTGTTTCATACAAACCAAAGAGGTTGATAGCCCGTAAAACGAAAGGCTGATTTATTTCTTTGCAAAGATAACAGGACACGACTAAAAGATGAGTTTACATTTATAGATTGTGCAGATTAGCACGTACTGTGTACTAGGCTGTTGCATAAGTTCTGTCCGATTTGAATTTTTGAGTTTAAAATGTCATAACTTCTTTCAGAGTCAACTTTTTTCCAAGGTCTTAGTTTCTATGTGTTGAGCAGTCCCTTGGCTAAAAAATGCATATTGAGATCTGCGCAAATCTTTGTTAAGGAAGAACCAAGAATGCAAAAACTTCGCAGCGTTTTTCTTCGAATCTGTCTTTTTTGACATGGTAACGCTCCCTTATGAAAATTGATAGGCATCTTTTCTAATAATGGATGGATAGAGAAATTTTCGTAGATTATTATGCAACATAAAAGAGCCCATAGGGTTTGCGCTGCCGAGAGATTTTTTTGACCGAACAAAAAATTAGCCACTTTTTGACCTCGCTTCAGCACATGTGTGCATGCCTATTTATGAACTACGAACGTTCTACAACTGACGTGAGCGCCGAAAAGGAATTGATGGATGGGCCCTGTTAGCTCTTGCTTTGCCCTAGCACCTCCAACTTTGAGCTTGTCGATTACTTCTATTCGCAGAAAGTTATTGCTTGTAAAACATCTATACCAAAGATTTATGTTCGAGGATAAATTTCACTAGGAAGACGTATTCTTCATGGGACCGAGCTTCTGCATATACTAGCATTCCATACCCTTATTCCGAAGCCAATGAAAGAACCTGACTTGAAGGGCGCATTGTGGAGATTTCCTCGCAAGAACATATTTCTAGGGTGAGGACGTACCTCGGTCACTTAGATATTTTAGGCCTGAAATCTCCGTACATTAAGAAATTTATTGAAATCTGATATGCATTAAAAAGCGCAAGGAAAGCACTTTCAAATGATACCAACAGTATTGCATTAGAGATGAAATTCTCTTAGAACAGCTGCTTCAAACATGAGGCAAAAAAATCGGACAGAACTTATGCAACAGCCTAGTACATTGAAACGTTAATTTGGGCAAATTTTCCTGAATACTCATTAGAATCTGTATTCTCCGCGGTTCATTGTACGTCAAAGCGAGCGCAGACAAAGAACTACTTCAAGAAGCTTGTTGCGATGAATGAGAGGCACAAAAGCTGAACATCAATGTTGAGGTAGCCAGAAAAGTTATGGACATAGTTGCAAAACTCGAATGTCAACCTCAAATTCTTTCAAAGTTTTTTGCGAGATGAGTCCTGAAGCAAAAGAAAGGTGAGAGGTGCGGCAAGGAAGCTCTGCTTAAAACGATTTTGAGCGAATCTTGATGTTTTCAGTACATAATTCTTTTCTCGGCCAAAGAGGGAGTTTTATTATATTTCTGCTAGGATGTAACGACAAAAATAATGATTGTCAAACATTGAAGTGAGCTTTGAGCACAATCGACTATTACTTTTAGAATTTTTTTCCCAAAATATAATTTGCAAAATGTAATGTGACCTTCTGAAATCGCGGCAAAGCCTTTTGAATAGTGAATCTGCAATCGTAACTAAAGATTGAGAGGAACCTGTATAAACATCAAGTACATTAACAAATGAAATTTCGCCAAAACTCTAAATTTTTCAGTAGAAGCTGTGAACTAATGAAATTTTCGCAAACGATTTAAACAATTTTTGCAAAAGCCAACTGTTTACATTTGACATTAAAGAATAGTGTCGGCTTGTTGCTAGTGCATTTATGCCCTATTATTAGAGGACATGCAATTTGATAGATTCACATTCTTTGGCTTGTTGTGCATTCAAACGTGTGCTGCAGTGTGTTCAGATCATGATTCGATGGGCTCTGGTGCGTTGAGTTTTGATTCGAAAACACTTGAAGAAGATTCTTTCAGTTCTTGCCAGTAGCTTCTCACCAATTCCACTGTAATTACTCCAGTCCACTTTGGGAAGCTGGAATCGAATTTGGTCTCGAAAATCGTATAATCCCAGTGCGTCTATTTGGTCACTACAAGATAAAATGGGGTATATGTCAAGATGAACGATAGCTGGTAGCAGTGGCGCGCGGGGTCATGAACTGGCAATAAGGTGTTCGCTCGAAGCTCCGCCCTACTGCGCGGGCGAGTTTCTCGGACAATACTGTCAAATGAAAATAACTTTTGATAGTGAGATATAAGCTTGTTGCAAGCTAGGGTGAAGCTTGACTATTTTCAGAATCTTGTTTCAAATTTTTGTTCCTTTTTTTTGGCAATCAATGAACAGCTGATGTGGGTCGTGAAATTCGAGAGATTTGCTGATTTTATTACCGAGTGACTCCTGGATAACCAACCTTGAAGTGTGAAATCAATCTAGACCACCTCAGGCATGATCGTTTGAGTGACCTCACATCTCGCAACTGGTTCACACGCAATTTCGATTGAGTTACAGATCGATTTATATTGAGGATAGCAGTTTTTGAAAGCAAAATAAAAGAATTTATGTGATATGACCGCATATTTGCAAAATGAGTTAGTTTGCTTGAAACAAAATTCGCCTACAGTGCTTGTTTTGAATTCTCGTCGCAATGAAATCTGTTTTTAGCTACGATTAGGGTTTCAAAATTACTTTTCAGATAAAAGAGATAATGGTGTTGGTCATTTCAGCAATAATAATAGTATTTCTCGATAAGCTGACTTCTTTTAGAACTAAACTTGAGAGTGCACAACACACTAATTTTATAATAAAAAATGATCTGAAAACTGATTTTCAATTTAATTGAAATTTTGAAATCTATTGTTATCCAAACTGCAACCAACTGAAGGAGCATGAACAAAGTATTAGAGAGTTTTCCAATAGCTACAACGCGTTCCTAGGCTAATTAACAAGGGGGCGGAGCGATCAGCGCACCGCGTACAGTACCCAGCTGGCGGCTGGCACATGCTATCGTTCATCTTGACCGCCACCCGATAAAATGATTTTTCAGTAACAAGACATATTCGAGTTTTCTCTATATATTTCATATTATGGTACCTTTAGGGCTACAATTGCTCTCTGGTGCCCACTGCTGCAATGGTTTCATCTGGCGGAAAAGTAGATCCTCCTCTGGTTTCTTTATCATATCCATACACGTAAGTTTTATGCTCTATGTAATAGTCATCGGTCACTCAGCATCGCTTTTAGACATGGAGGAGACGCTAAAGATATCATACTATCGGCGTTGGCTTATTGGGATCCAAAGTTTACATATGTATGTAGGAATACAACCTTATTTTTAATTCAAGATTTGGGGACGATTTCCTTTGTGATTTACGAGATGCCAAATTGGTTGACTTTATTAAAATCCGCAAATTAATGCAGGTTCCTAATGCGATCGCGGCATCTAATATATTTGATAGAGCAAAACCTTCAAGACTACATTAAGATGATCGCAAAGAGTTTGTTTCAGGTGAAGTTCAAAAGCAAAATTCAAAAAGAGATTCGAGTACCGGAAAATCGAGCTTAATCACGCATATGCTTCCTAGACGGAACATTTAATGCACGCTTACTGATCTTTAAAATGGCGGCTCAAGCTTAAAAATTTGAATTGGGTCAAAATTGTGAAAATAGCTCTGTTTTGGATTTTTTGCTGAATTTTTTTTGGAAACCAGCCTTGGAGGAAGCTGACGACCTACAGTTGTAGATTCAAAGGTTTGTAGTACAGAAATATCTAAGTTAGATTGGCTCAACAATGCATTTGCTAGGGCATAGTTATCAACTTTCATTTTCTCTGTTTCTAACAGTAGAAATTATCGCGATCGTACATATGAATGTTGGATATGGCTAGTATATGCCCGACTGAGCAAGTTGGAAGTCCGCAGGATCTCTTTAAGAAGTCTGTTTTTGGGTATTTGAATTTTTTTGGATTTGTCCTCAGACTTCAATGTGGATCAAACCTTTGCGATTTTGTGCAGTCATGTAGAGTTTGCTCTATCAAAGTATTTCCCATATTTTCATACCAACACTACCGCGATCGAATAAGGAGTTCGCGTCAATTTCGGGACAACCTAATGCGGACTTTTTTATAACGTCAAATTATGAATTTTGGGCGTTAGAAAAAAGCTAAGTGTCAAAATTGCATCAAAATTGAATTAACATTAGTGAGTCAACTGTTACAATAGCGAAAGTCAATGTTCTAGAATTCTTGATACCACTCTATTTTTTTATTTTGAAGTATTCCAGTATTCGGAATGTTCCGATGGCCTTGGATGCGCAGAGCGTCAAGATCCCGAAAAATGGAGCGGAAATTTCTCATGTGTCTTCCATATTCGTCCAAGCACATATCCTCAGCATTATCGATGGCGATGCCGTTTCGGAAACAATGCATAGAAATTGCTATTTAGAATCGAGGCAAATAAAAAACACAATGTCAAATCAACTGCGTTCAAAGGCACACTTCTACGAAAAGATACACTCTTTAAAATATAGAACTGGAGAAGTATAAATATTGAAGTAGACGTGAATTGTTTGATTTTCTTGGAAGCTCGTTGACTTTTAATCAAGAAAAAGTTTGAGTATGACTACTAGGTGTGCCAGGAAATAAGGGAGTACGAGTTTCTCGCAACCTTTCTGATTTATAATGCTAAGATAGCGGACATATTATGAGAGAGCCTTAGAAATTCAAAATCAAGGATTCCCTATTGTTTGGGAGCCTGTACTTGAAATTTAGTATGGAAAATAGGTCTATCGCTACCTTTGTTTCCCATGCATCGAGTACATGTACATTGAGCCCAGCCTAGTTATATCAAGATGGAAACAAAACTTTTCTACTGCAAAATTGACAGCCTTCAATTGACAATTCAGCATCATTCGTAACAATAACGCTAAAGTGCACAGTAAAATTCTTTTGTTCTCACTGCTATGTTTACAGAAGATTCAAATACTCGCCACTCTCATGGACAGTGTGATTTTATACAACATTGATTCTCCTCTGTCACCTCAGCTATGTACAAAATTCATCGACTATATTTACCCGTAGTCTTTTGAGTACAATGATGGTATCAAGGAAATCACATCAATCGTTGACACTAAGATTTGGCTTCGTTGAGATTCTTTGCAAGACTGCCAGTTCGAGACACGCTGTTGTTGGAGACTTTTCTTTTCACCGGAACTCCATCACGTGTAGACATCGAGGACAAGGACGTTTCTCGGGATAGCTGTAAAAAAAAGTGCGGTAACTTCCAAAAAATGGCTCTCATCTTTTAACTACTGATCATTCAGAGAATTGACAGATTGAGTGCATGGTAATTTTTGTGATTCTTCTATTATACCAAACCAAGAGTGAGAATTCGAAATGTTAAGAACAACCCTTGCTTTGAGTCACTGAGAAAGAAGTTGGAGGCTAAACCATCACGCAATTTGCATGCCTTGACCTATTTCTAGTGCCAGTTGTTTGGTCGTAAACGAGCGCTTTACTTCTTATGGTTAGAACCCGGTTCTATTTTGAAAAACGAAAAGAAAAGGACTCTTACCTGTGTGCAAATAGTTGCGCCACTTTTTGACTTCCTGTAAGTGGAAAATGAGCAAACCGAAGCTTTGGATGATGGTGCAGCCCATATCTGAAGTTAATATTAGTTAATGATGCGAATGATATTGTGTGGAGATATCCTGCGCTACGACGTCTGTAAAAATCGGACATTAATTATCTGCGACGAATAAAGCCGTCTTTGATAGTCGCATAGTTTTTATTCAGCGCATGAATTTTTTGGTAAAAAAGCAAAAGATTAAACTCTGTCCGACAGGTTAATTTGTGCTATTTTTTGGAGGGGTTATATCGGTTTTTTGTCGAAGGACAGTTGACTTTATGTCCACCCAAGCAAAGTACCAAAACACTACGCCATACGATAAAACTCAATTTACTTAAGCCAGCATAAATTATGGTGTACATGAAACATGATTTTTTGAATGTTATGGAAATCTGCAGCAATGCATGAATCTTCAATTTTCTCATATTGGAAAAAATATTTCCTTCGCATAAAAAAGGACGTCACGTCCAAGCTTCACCAACCTGTCTGTCAGCAGAGCCCCACCAAGTGAAAACAAAGACAGGCAGTGCGGCTACTAAAGCCGAAACCCGAAAAACCATCGACCATTCCGAAGCAGCGCCTTAACATAAGCATTAGTGTAAGTTACATAAGAACCCTGAAAAGCCTTACCTTGCTGGACGATGTGCTTCGTTAGAATCTTGTTTCCGATACTGAACCAGGCTACAGCAAAGAAGGACCAACCGGTGATGATACCCGAAAATGGTGGAGCAAGCTGGACTAAGGCAGTGATTACTCCGGGAGTGTGCATTCCTGTAAGTATTATATCAGTCTGATCATGACTAGGATGGCATATAACGAGTATGAACCTTTAATTTGCTGTAATCAATCTATAATTGTTATATGGAGGAAAAAAATTGTGTCCAGGTTTTGTTATATTACTTTCGTTTTTTCAATATTATGAACGAAAATTTTTGACACATTCAAGATTACATAAAGAAGTTATAAAGCATTACGAAGAAAGACTTCACTATGAGATAAACAATCTCAAAAATTTTGTACCTGCAAAAACCATGGCACCACAAAGCGAAACGACAGCAAACACTGCTTGATTTTTATCGAAGAGAGGAACAATGAAGATGCACATCGCTAGACCTCCAGATGCCACAGCATTGAAACCCTGAAAATAATGAAGACATTTGGATCAACTGCAAGAATTAGAAAAAAATAGCTTGACTATGTTGGAGAAGGTGATCAACAGTGTTAACTGAATAGAAATGCGCTTTTCCATGCAGGAATAAAACTTCTATACGCACGACCACTCGAAAATGAAATCAATTTGTGCCCACCTCAGCGACTATCGGCTCATCATGAGATTCTAACCGAAAGTTTTTTTTTTCGCTTTTTGAGCCTGCCAGAGCAAAGATTCGTAGACAATCTCGGTAGCGATGCGCCTTTTCAGTCTCTTCCAAATGATTATGTTTCTATGATGAATCTTTGTTCTGCGATTTGTGGCAACCATAAAAATACTTTTGGTACGAGCTAACATTGAGCATTGTAGCTCAAAAAAATGATTAATTAATTCCCAATAATGTTAAAGGATATGATTAAAAGTCATGCTCCTTTGTTTGAGTTCCGATAAGGTCGTTCAGATACCGTTGAACTTTTCGAAGTCTCGGTAAAAAAAACATCTTGGCTAAAGTCTCCTTTCCTGATCCCATAAGGAAACAATAGCACGTAAATATTTGTTTGAGGTGTCTAATTAGACTATGGTGTTGTACTGCTTGCAAGTGTAGCGTAAACCGAACCTTGCACACGACTGTCTTGTCCATGTCCCTTTTCTCAACCAGATAAGTTGCAAACGACGATGAGACCGTCTTTGATAAGAATAGACAAAGAATAGGCAAAGCTGCCATTAGTCCATTTTGAGTGGGTGCAAACTCGAGCACGTCACGCATGTAGTTCGGAAGGAACTGAAAGAAGACATCCCTTTGAAACAAAACGATCCACACAGGTTCATGAGAATTGATACAGGAGGTATTTCAAGTTGGGTCACGGTAAGTTACATACCTGCAACATGATGACCAATGGGTACTCATGACACACCAGGGCAAAAATTGATGCCCACAATGCTTTTGATTTTAGCATAGCCTGGTAAGGTACACGGCGAGAGCGATCTGTTCGTTTTCCGATTGATTCGCATGCTATTCTGGAATATTTCATGATTTTGTATACCAGAACCCACGACTGTTAAGTTGTGCTGACCTGCTTTCGATAAAATTTCGCTCTCGACCCGAAATGCAGCATTGTTTTGCTGGTTTGTCCGCTCCAAATGGAATCCAGAAAACTGTGACTAGAATGGAAATGCATGCTGACAAGTAGAATATTGCAGGCCATCCGTCGAGGATGTCTTTCCTCGTGCATAGATAGCCAGCTGTTGGTAGGATGAAAAGAGTTCCTAAAATTTTATTTTTTGAGCGATATTTAAAAATCAATAAAAACAAGCATGAGTTATGTTACAGATTCATTTAGAACTCATATCGTATTGAGGCTACACTTCATTGAGGTTTTTTGAACTAAAGATTGGCGAAAAAAGGAATGTTACTGATTTGGATGGTACATTTTATGCAAAATACACATCTCCAAAGGAATCAAAATACACTTGCTCTAGTTTGAATCGAAGCCGAAGATTTAATGAGACAAGGCCCAAATTTTTTTCTTTGAATCTCAACTCGCTTAAGTAAAATCGTATAACCTCATGCTGAATTTTTCCAAAATACAGAATTTTTGAAAGAGCAGGGGGTTTCACTTTTCATGTGGTAGACCAGAGACAATTGAAACTGCTTTTTTCTGAAGAACGCATGGACGCAAAAATTGCGGATGTTCCAATGGAAAACTTTGATGTTTTTCCGTTATCCGGACCCATATACCTGCTCCGGCCTAAAACTTTTTTTCATAGATCGTATGAGGAGTGTCTCTCTGCCAGTGTTAAGGTAAAAATCAACACGGTCATACTCAATCTAACATGACTATTAAAAATCATTTCCGCTGAGGCACCGGAGCATTTGTGATGACTCAGAAGCTGTCTAGTTTCTTTATAAGCGCAGAACGAAAAAAAACGTTTTTTACTAAAACATCTTGGGCGCATTCAGCGACGAGCTGAGTAGATCTTCCTTCTTAAATTGTTTCCGCCGTGCGAATTTATGCAGGAAAGATTATAGATGACTAGCTGGCTTACCCGGCTCCGCCGTATGTTCCGAATAGAAAATTCCATTTCTTAACCGATCCGGACCAAACTTGGCACACATACCCTTCGGGCCCCGGCGGGTGTCACAGTCCACTTTTCGTTATCGATCGATGTCGATTTTATCGATTTTTTGCAAAATTTGAGCTAGGGGGCTGGAATTTGGCAGAGGGGTGCGGAATCCCCATGCTCACTTACCTCCCTGTGCCAACTCCCAGCCCCGTAGCTCAAATTTTGCAAAAAATCGATAAAATCGATATCGATCGATACGAAAAGTAGCCTATGACACCCGCCGGGGCCCGAAGTGAATGTGTGCCAAGTTTGGTCCCGATCGGTTCAGAAATGGAATTTTCTATTCGGAACATACGTGCACACATACAGACAGACAAACAGACATTCAGCTTTATATATTAGGTTGTAACAGAATTAATGCAGGTTTTCTAAATTTTGTGTTTGGATTATTATAACTTTTTACACAGGTAGTCTTTTCGTGTGCAACAAGAACTGTAGTAATCAGCAAACCTTTCTCAACTCAGTACGCATTATTGTGTTGTTGTAGCTTCACTGAGAAGAATCTTATAGCCCGAAATCTGCCAAGAATTTTTTCGGGAAACCTTCACTTTGAGAAACCATAACTTACTATCAAATGTAGTAAGACAGCGCAAACATAAATCGCTGTGTAGCTTACTGTCGGTTGTGCAGCAGCGCTAAATTCGGAGTTGAAAAAGAATTCTTTGCGAGAGGATATTTGAAAAATTTTTGGAAGTACTCATTTTTTTCGACTTTCCTGAGAATTTGAATAATCGCTTTTCTGAAACTTTTGAATTTTTTCAAAGCTGAATAGGGAGAACGGCTTCCGATTTTTTCAGCAATAACTGTCTAAAATCTATTCTTCCTATATAAAGCAGAAGCACCGCAGTCGCTTCGCGCTGAGGGTTTTTATATAGCGCAGACGGACCACAGCGACAGCTGAATTTTGCTTTGGAATTTCTCGGCTCAGATGTTTTCAGAATTTATGATTCAACATGCATTTTGTAGAATAGCTCACACAAAAATAACACGTAAATTCACAGCGAATTCCGATTGTTTTTGGTGGTTTTAGAGCAAGGTCCATTAAAAGAAAGAATTTCGAGATTTGGTTTCTTGAATTCATGGGCTCCGAACTTCTAGACAAACTCACTTTTACTGAAACGAAAGAATGCGTAAGAAATTAGAAGAAAAGAGCTTTCAAATGATATGCAAAACTCTTTGGGAAAACAATTACCCTTCCTAAATCAGCATTTTGAAAAAGGTGCGCGAAAAACCTGCATTAATTCTGTTACAACCTAATATAAGATGCGTTGACCCACCTGGCTGCGCTTGTTTCGTTGCTTAATAGAACATTCTTAATCTCAATCGCCCACTCTTCTGTTCTCGGCAAATCTTATGTGCTCATTGGGCATAGTATGTTACTCTTGAAATGATAATGTTTATTTTTTGAACTAGTGAATCAAAAGATGGTCACCATTGATTGAAAAACAGATTGAAGTTAAAGTCCCCTCCACAGATCGTGCTACCCTTGGTCTGCGTCTCACAATCAGACCTGCCACGTGTGGCTAACATGTTGGCAGAACATTTTGGCCACGCTAACATGTTGCAGCATGTTGCCAACGTGTTGCTGCCAACGTTGCCAATTTGTTAGTCACACGTGGCACGTCCGCGACGCCACAAGGGTAGCACGATCTGTGGAGGGGACGATACATTATTAACAGTGGCGTACCGAGGGGAGGGGGGGCAGGGGGGGGGGGCGCGCCCCCCCCCCCCGAGAATGGGTCGCGAAATTTTTGAAAGTTACTTATATGGGTTATAAAAATGTGTAAGTGACTTGCTTATTTTTGTAAATAATTTTAAAATAATTTTTAAAAATTTTTAAAAATTCAAATTAGCCCTGTAAAAAAATTTTTTTCGGGGGCGTGGCTGGCGCCGCGCCCCCTTTTTCCAGATTTTAGGGGTCTGGGACCCGAAAAAATTTTGGGAAGCACCCCCAGAATTTTTTCGGAGTGCGTGGCTCACGCCACGCACCTTCTTTAGAAAAAAATTTTTGTCGCGCCCCCCCCCCCCCCCGAGCCGAAGTCCTGGGTACGCCACTGATTATTAGGTATGCTAAACAGATTCCTGGTAGAATCTGTTAAACATGTGCATGACGTGTCAATTTTTTTGACATGTGGGAGAAGGTTGACACTTTTCCCTGTGAAATTGAAGCGATATATTTTTTGAAATATATAGGTCCAGATAACGGAAAAGGCCACCGAAACTTTTTGCCAAGACAGGATTTTTTAAATGATATCAAATCGTCTATGAACACGTTGGCAAACTTTCTTCCCTCTCTTTAAACACATTTTTTCTAGGTTCTTTCGGAAAATGAAGGTCAAGTTCTTCTTGTTTACAGCTAATCCATACGATAGACTCGTATCTTCGTGACGTGAATAGTCACGATATGGATTGTAAAGTGTCCCTAACTTAGCGAGACTTTTATTGGAAGGTCTTTCAAAAGTGTAGAAAATCAGTAAATCACATGAAAGTTGCCAGTTCTGAATTCGGTTAGATGTCTTTACGCAAAAGCAATGAAAACAAGCTTTAAAGCTTCAGTAGTGTCACACAGCTTAGCAGCTGTTTGAAGCATTTATCAATTGATGTAAGGTTATTTAGATTTTCTCCCTCTTTGAGATCTTTGACAAGCTGACAGAATTCTTTTTACATTTCAGTTAGTTTTACGAATAATTGAAATCTTGCTGAAAAATGAGTAAAACTTGAGGTTCTCACAGAAACATTATAAGCTCCATATTTTTGGATTTCGGTACCCATTTTCTGAAAGAGTAGATGCGATGTTCGCGCGCATCGTTCGGAGCAATGACGAGTCGCCACTTGAACAGCATTACCTTTGTGACAAAATACATTCCAAACATCGTGACGTCTGCCCCCCTTCCATCCGACTCCCCTCCACTCACCCCCGAGGTCGTTGTTTTTTTCGCGCGTGCCTTCTAGTGTGTGGTGTCTGTTAATGGTTTATGTGTTCGCGCACGGCGTGGGTGTCGCCAAAGTTCGGACACCGCCACCGCCGATGGGGTGGTGGTCAATCCGGTCGCCATCAAGGACGTCACCGCATCAAGTTATCGCCAAAGGCAAATCATACGACCATAGTCGTAAATAAGCTATGATCGATATCCCACAACAAAGCAGATGAGATACATTATAACATGAAAACAGTTCCCACCTATTTGTCGTCCGCCCGAGATAAGTCCTATAGCTGCCGCTCGTTCGGATTGTGGGAACCACCTGGAAAAAAGGACAGTATAGATCACACTATAGAAATGAGGCAGGGTGCTCAAGCTAGGATTTTGATGAAGATATTCGATCGATTTTGATGCAGTTCGAGGAATAGCTATCTAGCATCATATACATATGCTCGTTGTAAGAAGACTTTTAAGCAGTAGTTTTTACAGTGTTTCTAATCTCAAATAAATATCATGATGCAAGGGATTGACACAGTAGTAGCATATAAACCAGAAGAACTTACTTCACTTAAACAGGACATGTCTAAAATCTTGAAATCAAATCAGTTTAAAAAAAATTTTTTGTTGCCACGTTTCAATCTAGGGTTATGGACCGGCAAAAACTTTTCAAGGCTCCCAAGTACTTTTTCCGAAAGGCTTCATCTTTTATTTTATTAGAGGAAAATTTCTGTTGCTCTCATGTCCCTAAGCTTTCGCAGCTCGGTACCTTTCCTCTTGCACTATTTTTATAATTATTTTTATATTGTTTTTTTTTGTCCTCCCGTAAACTGTTCTCCTTATTCAAATAATAAGCCTGCCTAAAAGATCTAGAGGTGGTGCAGTCACACAATAAACTGCACATACGGCGAACACCGTTCATGAAGATTTTCTCTTCACTGACTGTTTCCGCAGAGGGAGATCATTTTTTGAAACCTCTTGAAAGGGGATTGTTGATTGCGCACAATTGGAGGTTGTTATACCAGGAATCTTACAGCATAACACTTTCTAGGTTCAAATATCCAAATCGTCATAGCAAATAACACAAAATTTGTTCTTCCGGTCAAAGATCGCATTTTCTGTTGTTCCATGCCTCTTACGCAAGATGTTTTTAATCAGGCGAATTTTGTTTTGAAGTTTGATGCGCTCATCAGTCTACACCAAAGAAATGCTGTCATAAGACCGAACTTCACAAGTCTTTTTCCAAGGTGAAATTCTCACCTTGTAATCAGCGAATTACAGGCAGGCATCAGACAAGCATCCGAAGCTCCTACAGCGACTCTGGCAGCTACAGCGAACCAAAATGATTCGGCAGCAAACAGAGGGAGAACTAAGTTCCCAACGCAGCACAGGAGAAGGGCAACGAAAACCTAAAATACTGTCATTTGCGTTTAAAATTGATCAAAAAGTCGACCGTACCATCCACTTCCCGTTGAGACGATCCGCCCACATTCCTGTGACCAAAGTGAGGAGCGAACCAGCATTCTGGGCAGCCAGCACCAAGCCTTCCTAAATTTATGACTGATATGAGTACTAAAAATTCATTTTTGTTCAGAAGGTAAGTTTTCCGCAATACATATTTACAGGGAATAGGCACTAATGTGGCATCTGCATTTTTCTGATCAAGTCAAGCTCATTTTCTCACTCTCACTGTCTTTTGTCTTGTATAAAAATCAACTCTATCAGTGGAAACGAAAAAAGATACAAAAAATGCAATCTTTGAGTGCGAACATTCAAAGATTTTGAATTACAAAGTTGTAAAAGAACATAATGGCAACATATTTAGCTTCTGTATTTGAGAAGTGAGGTAGTTTGGAGATAATTGATAGTAAAAAAGCGTTGCTTGTGACAATATTGAATTCTTCTTCAATTCAAGCATGTCGAGTAAAAGTAAAAAATTTATATAAAAAAAACAGTTCAAGCTCGTAACAGTGCGGAAATCACCCCGGTAAACACTTGCAAAAGAGTATGAGAATTGTAGGCAGCTCGTTCACTAGTGTGCGCGCAAAAGTTATGGCCAGAAGAAACACGGAAAGTGAAGAGTAGTGATTTTTCGGTTGCTAATACTATTTTTGTTTTTTGCAATCGTGAAAGAAGCACTCTCTGGGTCAGAAACACCAATAAGAACAGAAACGAACGTCAACTTCTATCACTATCAGCCAAAACATAATGGTTAAGACATTCTTTTCGGAATGTTTGCTAGTTCACAAGCACACGTCTATTAGGCTGGGAAATAACAGGAAAATGAGTACCTGTTCTGTTTTCCACTTCAGATCTCCTCCGTATCCATGATGTGGGCAAGAAGTCATACAAATCAGCGCTACAGCGAGATTTGAACTGGATATGGAGAGTGTGATGAAGCAGCAGCACAACATCGCTGCCAGCATCAACCGCATGGATGGAAACAAAACCGAAGGCATGGCGAGATCCCCTGAGTGAAAAAAAGCTAAATGTTTTGTAAATGTAAGCAAAAAAGAAACAATCAAAATAAAAGTAAGCTATTAAAAAATCAGTCTTGGTGTTACCTGCTTCGCTAGGAGCGTACATCGACGTTGTCGTCGAGTGAACTGGACGATCTTCATTTAGATCTGCAAATAAAATAGTTTCATATTGCTTTACTAAAGTATGGTATTCACTTTCAATGTGATTCTTCACATTTGCCTAAGCATTCAAAAAGCTAATATTTATGCAAGAGCAAGCGTTATTCTTTATCACAAAATTCCAAGCCTTCCTTAGAGTATCTTCCACAACTTATTTTCGCACTTGGAATTGAAAACTTCAGATTTTTAGTTTTCAACAGAGTTTTCGGTTCCACTTCGATTGTGAATCTCCATTTCCGGTGAAGATGCCACTTTGATCATTTTTCTGCGCAATGGGAGCAATAATTTGTCAGTTTATGTAACCTTCATAACTGTTCTTACAACTGGACTCGCGAACTGAACTTTTGTGGAAGGAAACGGGCATTGAATATTTGATTTTCATAATCGGGTCGGAATAAAAGACGGACAATTGTGTTCATAGAAATTACTGTTTTTTTCGGTTACAGAACTAGTGTTTCCCTCTGAAGGTAAATGGATGGCTGAATTAAATTTGATTGGAAATTGTTGAGAACAACACTTATAGCAATATTATAACAACTGACAGAGGGAGGTGACATTTGCATTTTCTTGAATTCAAGCTAATTATTCAAAGCGTTGCGCTCGTAGAAGAGAGGGATCAGCATAAATAAGAGTAAGAGGAAAATGAAATGTTAAACGTTCACGTTTTAACCCTAGTGAATAGCTTACACAGTTAAATACCGTACAAAGCATTTGATTTCAGAAAGTAGTCCCTTCATAAAAGTTCAAAAAAAGTGAGCAGTAAACCCTCATTTCCCTCGATGCCATGCCAACATAACTAGATGGAGTGCGAAGCAAAGTTAGCTGATCATACTTTGGATACTTCCTTGATTCCTGTTTATGCGCCATGTCAGGGATTAAACAGAAAGAAACCGGATCATCCAGTTTACCTACACTCGATATAGATTGCCATAACTTGTTTTTTTTCGTGTGTAAGGATAGATAGATGAAAAAGCACATAGTATGTGATAGAAAAACGCACGCACATTTCTGGGATCTTTCAAATTCAGAGAGAGAATTTGCAAATTTCGTTTCAAGTTTATGACGAGAGAGGCTAAAAAAAATCAAAGATCCCTTTTTCTTTTTTTCTCCAGATGAGAGGCCATGCAAGATCAAGGCTAAAGGTTGCGAATTTAAAAAATGGACTCAAAAACAGTGATACGGCATGACCATCGAATTTTTTTTTCGGAGACTTTGCAAATCAATTTTTTGTTGCCCTAAGTCCCCTTCAAATTTTTATGTCAAGTACTTAACGCGATCTATTAATTGAATGGAGGAGAGAAAATGTCTATCAAGATTAAGTAAACCGATTTGCTTGCAGAGGACAAGTTCTCGTATATCCCGATCAAGGCCCTACAGGGAAAACCTAATGGGATCATTAGGCTATGCTGAGATGCAGCAGCGCGCGAAAAACGAAGACGTTGCCAATTTTACGCCACTAGTGGAAAGCTTTCACTATTCCACTGCTTTAGAAAAAGACTTAGTTGCCTAGCTTTGCTTAATTAGCCTCTTGAGTTTACAACACTAGACAGCATGGATCTAAATGGACCCAAAGTTCCACATGTGTGTTCTTTACACTGATTAGGCGTAGTTCAGACATTTTACGTAAACAGCACATGACAAAAAGCGGAATTTTTCACGTCATAAGATAGTACGTGAACAGCGTCGTAGATGACAAGGTAGAGATTGGGAAGGTCACGATATTTTTCTGAATACTTTTTATCGAAAATAAGAAGAATGATAAACAGATTTGAATTTTTACTCCACATTAAATAAAATGCAAGTGATATATCTATGAAAGCTTTGCTTTGGTTACTCAAAAAAAGCATTAATTCTTATTAGATTATTCGGTTCGATCTTTTTTATCAACTTTTGTTTGGTAATTTTTCTAAGTTTATTTCAATCCCTTTTCTAGAGGGTTATAGAAATAGAAATAGAAGTAGAGATAGTTATATACAAAATGTGGTACCATAATCTGTTCAGTATGGAAATTAATTTTGCAAGTGAATTATTCTAACTCCGTTTCGTTCCTGCCCTTAGAGGAGTACAGGGACTCCGGGCTCTCCCCGAAACTCCTCAGTAAGGAAGAAGAGCCCGTGAGCCTCTGTTATTAATGTTATGTTTATGTTGTTTGTTTAGCCTCTGTTTATTTATTTTATTTATGCTTATAATATCAAAAACCTACAGTCTTTCAAGAGAATACTCTTTATGAATGACTGATAGCGTGGAAATGAGGTAACTGTGATAAACTAGCGAAACGTATAACAAATTAGTAGACGCATCACATATTGCGAATGGTACTCTGCTTTCTGTTGAACCAAAATCAAATTTATCGTTTTGAGTTCAACTAAGCAGCGTAAAGTTATTTCAACAGTTTAAACCACATACAAAAAGCTCAGGGATGCATGTTAGGGCAAACTGTAACCGAACAGCTCTTAAAACCTTTGCAATTCGCAAGAACCGCCACGCTCTTCTTTCCTTTTCATCAGCTATCACCATCGTGATCGATAAGCGATAATGAATGACGCAAAAGTGTGCAAGGGTAGACAGAATATTTTCTTGGTATTTCAGTTTGTGATGGAATTGGGTATTCACTGTTTCCAGTGAAATAGCAGACACCTCGCTTTGTTATGCAGTTTTATGACTGAAAATTGTCGCCGAGTTTGAGTTTATAGTCGAGAAATGCGCAGTAGATGTCTCCAACAATAGTGGTTTTGAAAATCACGATACTCAGTTGAAGTCGCTGGTGAGACAAAGTTCCCAGATTTGAACAAACGTGGAAGAAGCTAATGTATGGCTTATAAAGAATGGAAAAAACGAGTAAAAATAGAAAATAAAAGCAGAAAAATTCAAAATATGTCAGAATAGCCCGAAAAGACTAAAACAAAAGTAAAATTCTACCTATGCGAAAAATGGTCTTTTCCGGTGGTGGATCTAGACTGGTCGATCTATCAAGGCGAGACATCGTCGTCAAATCATTGACGGAAGGGGCGGAGACCCGTGGTTGGTGAGAGCTAGGCCATTAAGGACGAAAATGTTGTCGGCGGACCGGTACTAGACAACTGGTCACCGGAAATCTCTAAGTAAAAGAATCACAAGTACACTTCACACCTTCCACCTTCTCCTACCACCTCATTCCTCCCCCGTCCCCTCCCCCTGCTAATTTAGCCAAATGCGTGTCTGAAGTGATTATTATTCTTTTACGATATTGGCAACGATATTGGCACTAACAGCTTGTTCGATTCAGTACTGACAAGGGAAGTTCGCTTAGTCAAAGTGGCGATTTGGAAGGAGATCTATACCAGCGGATAGAGCTTAAAAAACTGATTTCAGAAATACCTTCTATATCTGCGATGCGTTGTTCTGAAAAAAGTTATGAGTTTTTCTAAAGCCAAACTTCAGTGCAATTTGAGTACCAAAATTGTGATAATCGCTACACAAAAGTGTGCAAGCTTAAGCAAACCACCTAGTAAGCATTGTAGGTCTAATTCGAGTTCATACGAACGTTTTTGAGTGTTTTCCGACCATGCTGTTTATTCAAAGGCCGTCATTTCCTTCCTAGATCACACTTCCATTATATATACAAAGCCCATAACCTCCATCTAGAAAAGCGCGTCGCAGATATTGAAGATCTATTTGAGAACACGTTTTACGTTCTATTCATAGGTAGTTTCCAAAAAATTTCCGACGCGACGCGTTTTTCTAGATGGAGGTTATAGGTGTACACATAACGAAAGTGTGATCTAGGAATGAAATAACGACTTGTGGATGAACAACAGGGTCGAAAAACATCCGAAAGCGTTCGGATGAACTCGAATTAGAACTACAATGCTTACTAGATGATTTGCTCAAGCTTGCACACTTTTGTGTAGCGATTATCATGATTTTGCGACTCAAAATGCTCGAAAATTTTGCTTTAGAAATGCTCATAACTTTTTTCAGAACAACGCATCGCAGATATAGAAGGTATATCTGAGATCAGCCTTTTAAGCTTCATCTACTGGTATAGATCTCCTTCCGCATCGCACTTCGAGTAAGTGAACTTCCCTTGTGAGTATGTGAGCATCCATCACCGGAAAAATAGGCTTGATAATGGGCCTAATTTGGAACTGCTGTGCTGGAAAAGGTTTTAAAGAAATTTGTACAAAGCTGGGCAAAAAAAAAAGAGTTTCTATCTTGTTAGTTCAATTGCCAAGTTCGAGATAAAAACAACACCATTTATAGTATTAGGTTTCCCAAAAATTGATGCAGGTTTCTTATAGGATCGCCGTTAATAAAATGATGTAGGAAGCATAGTACTGGATAGAGCAAACAAAGCTACAAGACTGCATTAGAACGACTGAAGAATATTATCCACGTAAAGTTTGAACTCAAAATTCAAAAAATACCCAAAATCAGATCACCGTCCAAAAAATTCTGCGAACCTTTAACATGGTCAAGCATATACATTCTACATGAAATATTTAAATGCACACTTACCGCACTTTTGCAATGGATGATAATTGAAATTTGAGAATGGGCCAAGATGCGAAAATATTATCTTTTTCGGGTTTTTTACGCTAATTTTGATATTTCTCTGGAAATAGCCTTTGGAGCTGATTATGGTTGTACTGCAAAGGGTATGTAGTGTAGACCTATATGAGAAGCACCTATATGAGAAGCAGAACATACCAACTTTCATTTTCTCAGTTTCTAACCGCGGAAAAAATATCGCACTTGTACATATGAATGTTTGATGTGGACTGTATATGCCTGACCAAGTTGAAGCAAGATCATTTCGAAGGGAAATCTAATTTTTGGGTGACTAATTTTTCTGTATTTTGCTTACAAACTCCACGCGTATCAGATTTTTTGCTGGAGGTTGCTTTGCTCTATCGAGATCGAGATAGTATGTTTCATTTCTGTATTTACTCTGCCGCGATCAAGCAAGGAACCTGCATTAATTTACTGACAACCTAGTACTTGTAAGACATATTTCGAAGCAAGTCTAGGTCAGTTCCATATCCTCATTTCTTTGCTATCTCCTACGGTCTTCCCTCACTACTGAGGGAGCCGCGGAAGTCGTACCTCAGCCTAGTTTTCGCATAGGTGAAAGGAAAGCTGAAACAAATATAATATATTAGGTCGTCCCGAAAGTTCTGTCGCACCATTTTCAAAAATTCATAACTTCTAATTTTTCCAACCGATTTGACTGCTTTTATTTTTTTATAAAAGAGTAAATCACGCTCTTTAGAATGACTTCTTAGCTGCTTACTAATGGTCATCTGTTGCATAGATAGAAGCTGAAAACCAAAATCACTCAAAATTTGAATTTTTCGTGTAGGGTCATAAAAAATCGGAAACTTGCAGCAAAAATCGTTGCAGTCGGTATTGTAGGTTCTTTCACCAGCTCTTTCTAACAGTGCAAAGTTTGCGCTGATTGAGCGTCTCTATGAAAAGTTATGGTTTTCGAGCAAGCAATACAAAAGGGCGAATTTGATTTATTTTGGCATTTTTCAGGGAATTCATAAGTTTTCAAAGAGAAGCTCAGTCGGCGCAAACTTTGCACTGTTGGAAAGAGCTTGTGAGAGAACCTACAATACTGACTGCTCCGATTTTTGTGGCAAGTTTCCGATTTTTATGACCCTACACAAAAAATTCAAATTTTGAGTGATTTTGGTTTTATTAGGTCATCCCAAAAGTTTTTTCATATCAGACTTTTCACCAGCATAAGTCTGCTCTTCTTAGAATCCGCATCGAGTTCTAACAAGGGAACGATACTTGGTGTCCGTGGCCTTTTGAGATGAGATGCATACCAGTACACTCGTCTTGGAGCGCTGACTCCGAATCTGACTTTCGTTTTTGCTAATCGTTCCTCGGAAAAAAGTTATGGAGGATTTTCGCGTCAAAGGAAATGTAGTCGAGATGTCAAAACCGCCGCTGAGATGTGGTGTAGTGGCTAGTGCGATAGCCTCGCAAGTTACTGCAGGTTCAGCCTCGAGTCCTTTTGTGTTTTTAAGTTTTGCATTGCCTCAATTAATCATGAAATGATTAGCAGAAACGGAAGTCAGATTCGGAATCAGCGTCCCAAGACGAATGTGGTGGTGTACATTTTATCTCAAAAGGCCACGGACACCAAGTATCGTTTGCTTGTAAGACAAAATGGAAAAAAATCCAAAATTCCGAAAAAACGAAAAAAATCGTATCTCAGTTCAAAAACATTCTGCAAAGTCCTCACTTGCTCACGCTTATATTTTCCCCATCAGACATTTATATATACACCTGCTGCATTTTTATGACGGCTAGAAATCGAGAAAAAGAATAAAGCGCTTAATTTTTCAACTTTGCCTGTAATGAGTCTATGTTCCTCGCTAATGTGTCACTATATAGCTTATTTACTCAAGAATACTCCCACAAATTTGCACCCTTCTAGATGCCTTAGTTTTAGAGAAATATCATTTTGAAGGTACAAATATGAAAAAACTTTTGGGATGACCTAATAGCTTCTGTCTCCTTCATTTGTACACTTGAACGAACAATTCAAGTTGTACAGTACAGTACATTTGCAAAGAGCATGAGCTCTTCTCTTATACAAAATTTAGATCTTGTAAATTCGTTGAGAAATCAACAAGTTATGAATTTTTGAATTTGGTGCGAAAGAACTTTTGCCAACCTAATATTTTGCCTTTTTGCTGCTTTTTGTATCTTGATAAACATAACGATTACCTCAATTTCACAATTACAGGACGCATTTATTTTCTCCTAAACTTGATCAGCTTGAACATATCAAGAACGTGCTCCTTACTAAAGGTATTGTGAGAGAGAGAGAAACCATTTCGCGAGTCAGAGGTGCGGCCGAGCTGCTTGCTTGAAAAAAAAAACGAAAAAGGTGCGTCATGTAGTCGTGAAATTAGGAGTAGTATAGTGACTCAACGAATCACGCCTTCACACCATTCTGATCATCAAGAGTAGCCCACAGTTACAAGAGAAAGAAGGAAATAGCAATCTCCCCGCATTCCTTAGGTCTTGGGCATACCTCATGAGATTTCAGTCGCGACGCAATTTGGCAATACTCCAGTTGTTCAAAACTCATCATAACGGGTTTCTGAATTTACAGAAAATAGGACATCTCATCAACCTACGAAAGTTATACATGCTGCGCCTTTGGGGTCTGCCGGTATTGAATTTGAAGACATCTAGCAAATTGCAAGATCGAGTGGCGACTGAAATCGCACGAGGTATGCCCAGGGCCTCAGGCATCTTGATGTGTTGTGGTGTGGAAAAAGTTTTTTATAGCCACCAACAGGAAAGGCTACAGAGTTAGTCATAGTTGCTTTTTCTGAATTCTTGTGATCGTTCCTTTACTCGCTACAGCACAGTCAGTGGTTACTTTCCTACAAGTCGCTGCTCCATTCATTTGCTCAACTTTTTGGAGTACGAACCATCAATGGCATAAATAGAACAAAAGTACCAATACCTATTTTCACAAGTACAAGACGCACCTTTTTCATTTTCACATCTCGGCCACACCACTGGTCTTCGCGGAATGGTCGCTCTCCCACACAATTCTCTCAGCCAAAGAGCAGCGGTATAGCAGATCCTTTGATCGCAAAGTTTTTTTGGTCTGTTGAGGCTGGTCGAGTTTAGAAAAAAACAAATGCGTCTTGTACTCGTGAAAATAAGTACTTGAAAGGTGACTGGCTGGTGTTAGTGATTTCTCCCACCAGGGGTGTTACTCCAAGAGATATACTTCTTACAAACTGGCAAACATGAGACGAGAATATGTTTCTTTTCAACATTTTGAAGACAGCAAAACCTTGCAAGATCATAATTTTCTTCAAGAACTATCTTCGAAGACAACCCTGTATAAGTTCGTGTCAATCACGTACCGTTTTCGTGAACACAGTGAGCTTCGCGACACGTCTGCGCGCGTATGAATCGGACACTCAAATGGTCCTCATCGATTGGAGCCCTTGTACTGCGCATGCGTTGTTCCCATGCGAAAGGAAGTATAGTAAGTTTCAACTTAGTTTAGGCGGAAATTGGACTGGCGGGATTCCGCTTCGCAACGATTCGCGCCGCTTTG